GACTTTGCTGCTGCTTTTGCAGTCATGGTTGCACGTGGAAAAGAAAACTTCACAGTGGTGTTGTGTGGGCTGGATACACTGCTATAAGTATTTGGTGCATGTTTGTCCTCAAGTGAGTATTCATTCCTAGCAGGAGGCTATTTTGATAATGTCATTGGTTGAGGACAAACAGCCTTTCCGTGATTATTGTCCTAGCCGCCTGCTGTACTTCAGTTGAAATTCTTCCAGAATTTTATGTGGTATTTCCGGTAATGTCTGTCCTCACATTAAAAAGCTAAGTATTTGTGGTAAAGATACAGTTATATTAGCCTGAGACGTTCAGGAACGCATTCATCTTTTTCTAAAGTCACAATGCATCGCTATTGTTCTGAGATCAACCAATATCCTGTGCCTGAACTCTCAGCTTGTAGCACAAATTCTTGTTTATTCCCTATGGGTGGCATGACTTCATACGTTTTCAGTATTACATTTCACCCCACTACTATTATTTTATCCCCCTAAGCCCTCCTATTACCTTGTGTAGAAGGATTGATTTCTGTATTGTCATTACCTCATTGACATTTCATGTTTCATAAGAAAAAATAATGAACGTATTTCTACTACTCATGTAGAAGAACTCTACTCTCCAGCCAGATATTTCCCTAAGCAGCACAATGAGAGATGTCTTCTCTTTAATTGGTTGCCTGTTCACCATTTTGTTCCTGTTTTAGTCTTCTACCTCCTATCTGACCATTAGTTTACTTCCCTAGGTGATGTCATTATAACTAATCAGTCAGAGAAATAAAGATGGCTTATACTATGCGATCAGAAGCTTGATCCCATTCTGTTAGAGTTGCAGTGACATGCAGGTGCGTAATGCAGTTCTCTTGAACTCTGAAGGGTAGTTTTCCTTCTGCATTAGCTTTTAAAATGTTTCCTATCCTCTCCTTTCAGACTGATTACCCCGATACACTTTTGAAGCAGTTATTAGCCCAGTTAGGACTCGATCTCTTCTCTGCAAATACGTTCCATGATTTGGGATTCAGTTTCCTGATGAAATTTATGTAAGCAGAGGTGGAAAAAGCCCCCAAACAAGTAACTTCCTAACGTTTTGCCATAATAAATTTCCTCAGTTCATTGCAATTGACTTTCATGAACTAGTTCTCTTTATTCTTTAGTATTTGTCACTATTTGAAATGCAAAACTTTAACAGAAAATCTGTTTTTACCTATCCTTTCATAATGACCTTGAGATTATTTTATTAATGATGAATTTAAAGCTATAGAGATACTGTCAGGATGACAATTCCATACACTGAATTTGATTCACATTTTAATCTTAAGGCTTGCAATCTTTTTCTCTTCCCCCCCCCCACTTTCTCTGAGACCTACATTCTGCTCTGTAAAGTTGACGGTTCACTCTGTTTTCTGAAAAAAAATGCCCAGTTTAAAACAGTGAACTAGGGTTTTCAACAGACCTGTGCAGCAGACATAAACTTTGTATGTGTACCAGATGGTACTTCAGTTTGAGACTGCCTGTAATTGTCATGTTTTTAATAATGTTTCAGTAGGAGAAACTTAGATGGTTAGATGTGAAGTCAGAAAGAGGATCAGAATTCACTTTCTGATTTTCATGACACTAAATTTCTTCATAGAGAATGTTTTTCAAAAACTATTTAAAAGCTATTTCCACCGCTTGTAATGTCATAACATCAGAAATTTAAGTATGATAACATGTTAATTTTAGTAATAACCATCTTCTAAGAAGGCATCATTTTTAGCATCTTATTAGAAAGATTCTGTCAGGAGAGGTCTGTGTAGATTATTCTGATGTCCTTGTATAGCATTGACATAACACTAGGAAGTTCAGATGTGAACAGTGGTCTGTATTGACTTCAGCAAACTTTCCCTGTACGTTTGACATAGCCAGAATTTTGATGTTATTTTGTATCCTCTTCGGTGTCTGTTCCTGAGGGGCAGTGATGGTTAGTCAGTCATCCATCCCAAGGCTCTGAAGAGCTTTCCTTTTTTGGCCACTTGTCCTCAAAAGAATTTTCACTTTGTAACTCACTATGTATAGGATTAAGCAAGGAAGACGTTGCCTTGAGTCTGGATCTTCTGGTTAATATGTCAGCTGACTATTTGAGTTTTAACTATATTTAACATCATAGGCTACTTGGGATGAGACACTGTCTTCCTCCTTCTATAGCACTGTCCTAGACACCTTGACCCTTTTAATAAAATACATTAACTTTACACATAAAAAACTTGGTTTGCATCTCTGAAAAGCAGTTTCACTAACAAAATCAAAGTAATCAAAACAGAATGGAAGATTGAAAACAAAAACATATTTGGCTGTGCGATTTTGAGGAATCGTTATTTTGCCGTCTTCTAAAACTACATACTCAAACCTAGGTGTCGCACTTTGATAGCTCTCCTTAACACAAATCTGGAGACAAATAAGAAATATCCCAACTCAAAAACGTTCTTCTTGTTTCGATTTTGTTAGATTTTTTTAGTTTTTATTTCCAGCTCTTCCTTTCACTTTAAGATGCCTATTCATTTCTCCCATCCCTTTGCATTTGTACCTTCTTGTTCCTTGACCTGTCTTCCATGAGCCTGATGTGTATGGACAGTCTACACTTCATCTCTGTGACAAAGTACACTTCAGAAAATGAATGGTTCTGATCGATCCAACCTGTGCAATTCCAGGATTATTCACTGATCAGTTCTGAGCATCAGCAGGAGATATCATAACTTACCCATATCAAAGGTCATAACTGAGCTTAATTCTTCTTGGAGATATTCCAGTGTAGGTGTACTTTTCCATACGTTCTTTATAAAGTTCAAGTCTAACTTTAAAAATTATGACTACCTTATAAAGTCATGCATAATGAAAAGTTTAGTTAATTTTGTTATCACTATATGCTGTCGGGGAATAATTTTGTACAAACAACCTACTGTAAAAGCATCTTAAAAAAGAAAATTTTCATTATTGTAACTTGCTTCAAGGAATGTCTTTCTCATTCCATTACATGTACATCACTCTTTACCGGAGAAGAATATCTGACTTTCCTCTGCATTATAATGTTTTTAAATCAGCGTTAGTGGCTACATGTTAGAAAGATCTAGTATTCTTGATAGATCAGCCTGAACTCCATCCTTCAAAAACTTGTAAGGCTTTATGAAGATCTTTGTATATGTGTCTCTGAGTAAAGCAAGAACCCGAGATAAGGGTTACCATTGCTCTCAAAGGTTAGATCTGACAGAGAGTAAATGCTTAAATATTGTGACATTGGTACTCTGCTGACAAAGACAACCTCTAGAACCAGATGTGAAAGGTTCAGGCATTTCTTCTTCTGTATTCTGAATGACAAATAAACTTACACCCTTTTAGCTTCAGACACCAAATTTGCATAAAAGTGGAGAGGTAGGAGCCATGAATGATGACCTTCATCCTACTTCAACTGAGAACTGTTGTTTGGGATAATAAGGCTCTTATGTTGCACGGCACTTGTATGCCCAGATTCCACCACTGAATTTGCCAGTTTTCTGCGAAGCTTCAGTCTCACTCTGGGGTACCAAGAAGCATGACTTCTTTACCAAATGAGCATTAACCTGGTAGAACAGATAAGGAAACTTAGCTCAACCACATCTGGTTAAGTCTACCCATTGTCTTTGTAAGTAGGTTATGCTATGTTTTGCAGTCTTAAATGCAACATTACAAGAACAGAAGAGAAAGCATTTAAGTAAAGCAAAGATTCCTTCTCTTTACCGTGTATTACCGTGTTAGAGATATGAAGATTATCTTTGCATTTCAGACCACAGTAGCGTAGTGTGAGGAACAGAATAAGTCAGCGTGCTGATCTCCTCTTTGGAACAAACCCATCCCTAAATGTTCATATCCCTAAAGGAAAGTGGTCTTCAGAGCTCTAATGAGGAGCACATCTGGAGGAGCACTCTGCAGCCACCCTCCGTATAACGAGCACTTTGTAGGGGTGTGGATGTTTGAACTGGAGATGAGCTACCCTTTGAATATCACTCTGAAAGTCGACCCTTTGGATATCACCCATCATATTCTTCTCTTGAAGAATCTCAATTATATTTCTCTCTTTTTCTATTTTGATCTTACTTTGGCTATTGTAATAATGGTCATTTTTTTTCCTGTGTTTTGCATCTCTAGTGTAACAAATATCATTATTTTCTGTTTCCTCTCACCTCTGCAACCAGTAAATTAGTTTTGTATCCCAGAGTATGTTGAGTGGTTTTTCTGGCACTTCTTCTTTTAAGAAGAACAAAAAGAAACTGATCATTCTCAAAATAGTACGTTCCAATGAGAGTGAATGTAATGACCATTATTTATCTCTGTACTGGAGAAATTGAGATGGCAACAATCCAGCATCTCCCTTACGCCACAAGAGGCTGATAAAACATGGTAGCGGACTTCGAGAGAGGTCTTTTAGTCTAGCATCTCTAAGCTTAGATCACCTCTTAGGGTATTACGGTTATATTTTTAAAAAGCAGGTCTTAATCACCTAACAGTTGACAGCAAACAGTGTAAGGAATAAAAGTTGTTAATATATCCCAGCCTTTCAGTTCTATTTAAAATAAATAGAGGAGAAATAAAGATGCTCTATATTGAACAGAAAGCTATTAAACCCATATAATGTGTTGAAAGCATGTCTTATTTTAAATGTTTTCTTGAAAGCCAACAGAGTCACGGATGTTGGACTCCTTTGGTTGTACATCTATTCATAAAATCATGTTAGTTTAGGGTACCAGATAGTACTTCTCAAGTTCTTGACTGGAACTGAAGACATCCTGTAGTGTCTGCTCATACAGTTTGGGTCATTACTGGAGAATTCTGCCAAATATTTTAAAATTGGGACAGTCTGAAGGTAAGGCTTACCAATATTTAAAATTTATGAAGTAAAAGGGAACAGAAGATTTAGTCTGCTGAAGATGCGTTTGTCTGGTATAAAGAGTTTTCATGTTGTGATAACCTGCATGTGTCCTTTGCAGGGGAGGAGCTGTGCACCGGCCTCATTTCGGGCTGTTCCTTGGACTGTTCCTTCGGCTTCCAGACTGACGTCCACAACTGTGAGATCTGTCAGTGCCGACCACGGCCTAAGAAGTGCAAACCCATTGTATGTGACAAGTACTGTCCCTTTGGATACTTGTACGTATTCTCATTCTGAAAGCATATTTAATACAATCCCTGTACGTATTGAAAATATGCAAAATCCAGGCGTATGTACTTGTGTTTAGTTTGTGGCAAAGCAAGGGAAAATGTAGGAAAATAGAAATGTCATTACTTGATGTGAGATTAAAGTATTCTTCAAAATGGATTTTGATCAAGAAATTAAGAAATGGCAACTAAAAAAAACAGTGGCAGATTATAAAAGCAAAACAGTGCTTAAATTTTTTTGAAGAATATTTGATGAACAAGATGAAAAAGCTAGTTACAAGAAAGGTCTCTTGCATGTAGCTTTTTGAAATTCTGTTTGTGTGTTCTGCTGTGATGCCCTTTCATTTTGTAGCCCATTTATTTTATTCAAATGATTTTATAATATTTCAAGTTTTTTCTAATGTTGATATGACAGCGGAGTAGTTTTAGTGAGACATTTCTGATAGTTACTTTACAGGATTCGTGAAGAACAGTACCATCTCTTATCTAAGTTTTTGTAAGTGTGTTCAAAACCTGTATTGTTGCTGGAGTTCTTTCTCCATAAAAGGAAATATTTGCAGTATTTATGCATTTGTGGAACAGGTGACGAAAACTGCGCAGATCTTTTGTCACATACAAATTTCTTAGTAATCAGTCTGGTGGCTTCTATATATATTTTACCAATACATTTTATTTTTGATGGGTCCATTCCATGTTACTGCCTGCTTTTCATAACAGTTTAATTTCTATCTCATGACAGCTGATCGTCAGATAATGTTCCTATGTAATTTGTTTTCTTATGATTTGAAATGAAGTTTACTAATGTTGCAACTCCCAGTGTTTGATACTAATACTCCTTTAATTTCTGGTTCATTTCAGAGTTCTGTTTGACGCTTGTTCATAAACGCTGCAGGTTTTTATAGCAGTAATCTGTAGTGTACTGTGTCCTCCTCTTAGTACGTGGTTTTAATAAAGTTTGGAGGAATCAAAATATGGTAGAACCTGAATGATCAGAGAGGTACCAGAGATTTTAGAAAAATAGAAATCAAGCTGTAACATAGTGATATTCTCACAGATTTAATTAGCTCTGCTCATAGATGGTGCTAGTGAACAATTTGTATTCTCTCCAGTTGTGCTGCCAAAGTAAAAAAAAAAAAAAAAAACAGGAGAATACCAGCCTTACACCTTCCGTTAATCTTCAGGCTATTCTTAGCCACAGAGCGGTGTTCCACTTAGGTGAATACAGTGTTCTGGTTGACGTCCCTCTTATTGCCCATACAGCTCTTGCATTGTGCATGGTGCTAAACAAGAGCTGGCATTACATCAAACAAAAAGCAGACCCATAGCCCATGGAACAATAATGGCACAAATATGCTGCAATACTCTGCCAAAAAAAAAAAAAAAAAAGAAATAAGAACATTTGAAGAATATGTTGCCTTGCAAACATTGAGTCACTTATTTTTTCTACATTAGAAAGGATGCTTGATTTGTATCCTTGAGGCATCCCTAGTGTAATCTGAAAATACCTACATAATAGCAGTCCAACAAAACAAAGTAAAGCAATACCATTTAATATAATCCTGTATCTATTACCAGAGATACAGAATTAGGCTTGCCTCTGGTTAAATAATGGAAGTTTTTGCAGGAAACAGCACTCATGAGAGTGATAGGATTGAAATAGGACAAAATGAGGGAAAGACAACAAAGATTAATCAAACTTCACTTCTGTCCCCAAAACTCAAAGTTTAGTAGATGAGAGAGGAAAAGTAAGAATTCTAAATGAAAAGGTTAATAAAATTATCTTCAAGGCATGTTGACTTCAAGAGTGGCTGAGAGTTATTTTCAGTTTTGCAAGCGAGAGAAGGTAGAGCAGGAGGAAAGTCACAGAAAAGGGGTGTCGGTTTTGTCATCCCGAGAACTTTTGCCCAGTGGCTTCAAAGGCAAGGATGGCTGAAGGTGGGTAGCAGAACAAAAGAAACATGAAAGATTGAACAGAAATAATGACTGGTTAGATGTCTCAGGTTTTTAGATAGGATAAAGCTGCTTACATTAAGGATCAAAGGAGTGAAGTCAATTAAACCAAGTACAAAGCATGCAGAATTGCGTACAAAGCATCCGGGGAGAGTGAAGTTTGAGCCATGCTGTTGAGCAGGCACAAAATCCAAGATAGTCTCCTAAATCTGGGAGCCAAAGAGGCAAATGGTGTCGGGGTATCTGAAACTGTGAGACCTCTGCGATGGAATCGGCAGGAAGGGTGGCTGGGATGAGACAACAGCAATAAAGGAATACAACTTACAACTATATTGAAGTATATACTGGAAATTGCCATATAGTCCTCATACGGTGTAACCATTTCTCAAGGGGCACTGAAATCATTTGCGTTAGCTTATATTTGATTTTGAACTTTGGCACAGAAGAGAGAAAAATTCTGAATAATGGCCATCAGAATATATTTCATTGCTATTTGCAACAAAGATGGAAGCCATCTTTCTTGTTCACAGTACATAAAGCATCTTCAATACCAAGTACAGGATGTGAGCTCAGCAGTCTCTAGACTGTATATCTGAACATTTATTTTTATTTCTGTTTTATATTTGTGTGTTAAAAACTAATTTCCATTAATAATACTCAGTTACTGGTTATTTTTCAAATTGGTTTATAAACTCAGTGGATTAATCTAATGTGATATCTAAAGGGCACACTAAGGCTGTTAGATCTTGAGGTTTATACTTTTTCCATATTGTAGCTCTTAATTTATTGTCTGTAGCAGAGTCGATAACTTAAAGCTATAAGGACAGAATCTGAGAAGACTTTTTTCATCCACATGCTCAAGGAGTGTGTGCATGCATGTGTTTGCATAACCACAGAGACACTTGGTATGAACTACAAAATTTTTTACTGTGTATTCAGTGTGAGGGAATATCTCAGCTTTTTTTAATTTTAATATTGCAAGTGCATAAATACATTATTATTTTCAAGGCCATTTGCTTTAGCATTCAAAAGTTATTCAGTGTGAGTGAATATCATTCAGCTTTTTTTAATTTTAATATTGCAAGTGCATAAATACATTATTATTTTCAAGGCCATTTGCTTTAGCCCATTCAAAAGTTATAATATGAGAAAACCATTAAATAAGGTCTATTTAATGTCTTTTGTCATTGCCTTTTTGGACTTACACAGAAATAGCTTGAATATATTCACGAACCAAGGTCTAGGTGTTTATTTCCATTCCAGCTAGCTCTATTCTTTGACTTTTCTGCGGTATCTAAAGCAGTCAAGTTTGTTTCTCCTTTTGATTTCTTCCAGTTTACTACTACTGGTTTTCTTCACTGGCAGTCCCAATGTAAATGTCACACTGAAGTGTTAAAAATTTTTTTCTACTGCTGATAAGGATTGTTCTGAACTATACTTACCAAAGTCATTTACTATTAACGTGTTTTGTTTGTGTAAATGTATTAAGTTTACTGTTACATCCTTTTAGTTTATTGTACAATACCTTTCCCAACAACATGGATTTAGGAAGAAATACTCTCTTCTACATAATGAGCAGCTTTGTCTGATTTGGTTATATGAACTGTAATTTTTGTTTAGAGGAAAGCAGACAGTATTTTTGCAACTTTAAGTGGAACATAGTAGAGACCTTAATAACCTGCAGTGAACTGAATATTTTTTTACCTTCAAAATGTTGAATCTTCAGGAAAAAGCAAATATTCTTTTAAGATAAGTTAAGACAGTAAATTTCCATTCCTGGGCCTGTGCTCCCAGTGTGTGCAACTGGCAGTAATGTTCTTGATTTAAGTCTACCTCATTAGTGACCAGTCCATGTGTAACTGCTAAAAAGAACAGTATTTTCTTTGGTCCTGTTTTCTTCCTTAGCTGTCAGTAAAGATGCGCCCCTTACTTCTGCTTACGTATATTTTTACTCTGCAACTTCTGACTTTTACTTTCTTTTCTTAAGCAAAGGTTTCTCTTTACTGTTGTCTTCTACGCTACTTTTTAGTATTGTTAGCTTTGCAGTGAAGTAGGCTGTTCCATGTGAACTGAATTAATGAACTTTGACTAATTCAGAAACTTGTTACTTGGTTTGAGAGGTCTGACTTTCACGGTCTCTCTCTTTCATGAACTGTGACTTAACTGGTTTTCTAAAGAAAGTTTTAAACAAAGATGAGGAAGATCCTTATGTGTAATTGGAAGATGACCCTCAGATTGCAGTGAATTTGACCTGTGATGTTAAGGGTTATACTCTGACACACCAGTATAAATCATCAAGAATACCTTTTTGAACAACAACAACAAAAAATCTGAAATAATTCTGTTGGCCTTCTCTTGTTGCACTTTAGGTGAGTTGTGCCTGCATTATTTTGAAAGGCCTTAAAGGAGAAATCTCTAAAAATGTATATTAATACCCCATTTGGAAATTGAAATTTTATTTTATTTCCCTCCATTAAGAGTAGGGGGGTAGAATATAGAGTTCTACTTCACTTTAAAGCATGTAAATTAAATCTGATCTGAAAATGCAGGTGCAGACATTAGGCTGTTGAAGTCCTCATAGCATTGCTTTTTGATACGCACCGTAGAAGCCTACCTTCTGTAAGTTGAGGCTGTTCTCTAGTTGTGTATCTTTCATTTAGCCTTATCACATCATAGTGTGATGCCTTTACATACTCTACTTTTACGTCTTCAGAGAAAGATAAGAACCCGAGAATAGAGCCTAATATACTTTGAGCCTTAATAAACTGCTTTTCTGTGTTTGAGTGCAATCCTCTTGACCTATAGAGTCCCTTAGTTTGTGTGATCTGTGAGTATCATCCTGCTGATACCTGTGCCTAAGCAGTTAAGGTGATTATTGTTTTGTTAAGAAATTTGTGGTATGTGTTGATAGTATCTAGCTGATTGTATGGGGAAATCTGAAGGTGTCCGTGCCATCTTCTTCAGTGTGGACATACCTGAAGCTTGCATTAATGCTGTCTACCCACCCAGAAATGGTTCAGTCTTCTGAATGAAAATCAAAGAGGAATGAAGAGAAAAAAGATAGATGGGCCTAGCTTTATATAAAGAAATCGATCAAATCATTCATTTTCCTGGAATGCTTTCCTGTAATAAAGAACTGATGTCTCAGTTTCCGAGAAGGATAGGAAAAGTCCTATGAGTATTGTCCATGAGCTGCAAGAGCACTTTAAACACAGAGAAGCTTAGTCCTAGGTGCAAGTAGTTTTCAGTGTCGATCATGTGTCAAGGATAGTCTGTTAAAGGATACAAACTTCAGGCACAAATTCAGGTGATTTTCTAAACTCTTGGAGGAAGCAGCCAGTGACTAAGAAGCTGTGTGATATTGTCACATAGGAGTAGGAAAAATTTAGAAAAATAGTAAGGTTTATGATGTTGAAGACAAGAATAGTAAGACAGGCTTTATTTCCTAGATTTACTAGGCTTACTTTGTACACCTGAGGAAGACTAAAACTACCAAGTAATAAGCTTCAAAATGGAAACTCAGATCTTCAGAAATGGAAAGTATCTGGAATTTAGTGAAAAGAAAGAAAAATGGTAAGCAGGTTAAAGTTAAAAATCGTAAATATTGAATCTTGCAATTTGGAACTATTCATTTGAAGTCCTAGATATGATAAAGCGACACCTTGATCAGACATTGACTCACAGAGTATCAGATCTGGACCATTTAATGACTTGCCCAGGCACTCCCCGGTCCAAGGCATGCTGTCTGCCCCATTGTACCGTATCCCATTCAGAGGAGTTGTGGGAGGCCGGTGAAAACATAACACAGGTCAAGACTGCTCCACGGGCTAGCACCGAACCGCACGGCTTGTCTTCAAATAGAAGGCATTATAAAAATACAGTGTTCAGCCTCTCACAGAATTACGCTGCCTGTTGTAAAGAGTAGTAATTTTTAGCCTCTGTATATGACTCATTTAGTATGTTGACCTACAGAGGAAAATTACATATTTCTGTATGTTGCTTTCTGTACTTAGATAAGCTGAAACACACTCTTCTCTTTCTCCTCTTTTGTTTAAACTAAAGTGTGCATAAAACAGTTTTATTAGAAAATCTGTGTGAACTATGTAGCAAAAGCTTTTTAGAAATGACAGCAAATATTAATGGGCATAGTATGGTAGCTGGGAGTAAGATAATGTTTTAAAAACAAGTTGATTTCAAGCTGATGCTAGTGTTTTAGGAACCCTGTCTTTGGGATGATCTTTCCCTTGCATTTTTGTACACCTGAAAAAAACTGAACTTTAAACTTTTTTTAAGCTAATTGGAAAATAATCTTCAACTTAAATTCTGGTTTTAAATGTAGAATGTAATTTTATTATGCATAATGCTTGGCTGGTATTTTTAAATGATGAGACTTTAAGCCTTAAGATGACTGTAGGTTTTTTTAAAAAAAAAATTACATTGGAAATTAGCACCCTAATCTTGTCACTGTCTGTAAAATTGCACTGAATGAAATGAATAACATTTGAAGATAACTATGTATGTAACAGTTTGTAGTATAAAGGGCTAAAATTGTGGTAAAAAATATTTTAAGATCATTTCAATTCAAGTCTTACTTTGGTGCTAAATTTATTTAGATTTGCAGTTGTATAGTACATTTGTTCAGTTGTTTACCACTACCGTGCCAATTTCTTCTCTAAAATAGCAAGCCTTTTGTGACTTCCAAGCCTGTTACGACCATCAAAAGCATGGGATGTCATGGAAGACAAACCTCTATTTTAATGTAAAAGTTTGGTCACAAACAGAAGAATAAAGAAGCAAGTGTTCAAAGTATATTAGAGAGTGAAAAGTTAAGTAGTAATCATCATGTTTGTGATTTTCTTTTTTTTAAGAGTGTCAAAGGTTAGTACTTGGAAAATCTGAGTTCCTGCATCTTTAAAGAAACCAAAATCTTTTCACAATTGTCTGAAAAAAACTGCTCAATAGAGTTCACTGAAAGCTCTACACATTAATGGAAAGAAGCATTTCTTTTGATATTAAAAGGGCTGTGGTTACAGACATTGAGGAGGAAAAAATAGATGGATAGGAGGACAGAAGGTCTTCCATTCTCCGTCCTACTGTGTGACGATTTGTTTTCCTCAGCCTTTTAACTAAAAATTAAATGATGTTTTCTAGAGCTTGAAGGCAGGCTTTCTAGAGATTTACATAATTTATTTCTTTGCTATCCCTCTAGATGTTCTTCTTTAACTTCCCATGTCTTTTCTTTGTTTTGGGGGGAACTGGTGTGCATTTAATGTTGTAGTATTCAATGAGGGATCCATCAGTTTCCCAATAAACGTTTTTCCCAATTTTAGTGAGTTACCTCATTAGAGTGATATGTTTATCAGCAGACTCATAAAAATCATTTATTGGGGTTTTTTTCCCCTCTTTGTCTTGAATGTCTTCATTACAACTTTTTTTTTTCCCCCTGTATGTTGGGAAGGCACAGAAAATTACTCTATCTGTATATGAAGGGAAATAGTACACTTGTGCCTGGAGTTCAAATGGCATTATCTGTCTTCCTGAAAAAAGACAAGCGAATATTCGGTATAGGATTCTCAGAAGCAGCTTGTTTATGGTGCTGTGAAGAGATGCTGTCAGGTGGTGCTCTAGACTCCTGCCTAGCTTCACCTGGAGGCTTTGGAAGCATTTGTGTTCTTAATTCTCTGTGCTCTGTCTGCTGAAAAGTTCTCTGGTTTTCTGTGTTTCAAAATATGTTACTGTGTCTCTGCTACTCTTTATATTGGTTATTGGCATTCCACGTGCTAGTTTTCAAGTAAGCTTTGTGTCTGCTTATTTAACATTTTCAGAAATCTCTCTGTAGTTTTAATATGCAAGAGATGAAATATACTGTACTTTACCTACTGTTGGAGGAAAAAGGTTAACGGTAATTTGTGTTATAAAAATATAGTAATTACAACAGATTCCTACCTATCCCTCCAACTTCTTCACAGTTTTAGACATTATTCTTTCTATTTTTTCACTTGAAAAAATAACTGATCATCAATAGTAGTCACAAGCATGTACGTCTATATTATCTGCTATGGCTTGAAAGTACCAAATGCCAAGATTTCGCCAGTCACGTGGAGGGGGCATATGCCAGGGATTGAGACCTGTACACCCCATAGACCCACTGAACCTAAGGGTGACAGTTAAGGATAATTTTCTTTACTTGATCAGTCGCTTCTTTAGGGGATGCTTTTGCTTTAAAGATCATGACGTGTAGATATTTAAAGTGACCTGCTGACCTTTTACAAATTATTTTGGTCATCTAGGAAGAACAAGCATGGCTGTGAAATCTGTCGGTGTAAGAAATGCCCAGACCTGCCTTGTGGTAAAATCTGTCCGATGGGCTTCCAGCAGAACAATCACGGCTGTGTTATCTGCAAGTGCAGAGGTAGGTGCGAGTGCATTACCACCTCTAATTACAACTTGTTTTCAAAGCAGTTGGAAGCTAGAGCAAAAGAAAAGGAATACTGCACAGAATATGTAAGAATTGAAATATGGTAACTGGTGGGGGAGTCAGTTCAACTTTGTTCAAAGGAGTGTATTGTTTTGCTGGTGTTTGTTATTATCTGTGTTCATCTTGGCTTCAACAGAAAGCCTCAGCTCCGCTTTTCATCTCCCATTACAAAGTCAGAAAAATCAGTTCATTATCGTTAATAAAAATTAGATCAGGCTCTTAATAAGTAACTACTAGAAATAAGCTAGTTCAGTGTTCATCTTAGCTTCTTCACCGTCATCTTTTCTTTACAAACTCACGTTTTGGATTTGATAGATGCCCTGTACACTGCCTAAAATTAGAGTGCCTTTTCTTGGACACTTTTCAGGCGGTCTCGAGGAACAATGAGTAGAGTCCTTACCCAGGAGAAAGGACTGGGTATCCTTAAGCTAAAGATTTCACACGTGCCACATCCCAAACTTGTAACCACCAAGTTCGAGGTGGAGATTGAGATAAGATGTTCATTAGTTGTCTGCTTCAGTTTTGTGCTGCTTTTAACATGTCTCTTTTTTAAGGTATTTTCAGTCTGTGTTTTGTATTACTCTCGGTATCAGACTTCCTTCATTGCTCATCTCAATGTGTTGCACTTAATAACTTTTCATTTGTGCTCAGGCTCTCTCTGATCCTAACTGCTCTTTCATGCTCATTTCCTTTGATTCTTACTTGTGTGTTTTGATTTCTAGCTATAGGCAAGAAAGTTTGAGTATTTTCCCATTGTTTTGTGTAATGACTCCATTCTTAACTTTTTTAGCAGCTATTTCTTTTGCATTTTTGCATAAAAAAGATAAAATATAATAAGACAAGCTATGGGAACATGGGACTGGAGGAAAGTGTATGAGTTCCTGAAGTCACTCTCCTGTAATGGAAGGCAAACATGCAATCATATAAATCAGAAGGATCCAACATTGTATTTTCTCCCCATGACATCATACACTGCAGACAATTATAACAAAACTTTAAGACTTCTAGCAAAAAAAATTGAAATGTTGTAAATGTACCTTGCAGATATGAGAAGTAGAGAGAGATTTCACTGGCAGAAGCTGCAATATATGACTTCTACTAGAAATAAAAATTTTAAAAATTAAATAAGAAAGGGTAACTGCTGAATGGAGTCCCATCGAGACAATTCTCATCACTTATCTTGTCATTTGTCTCCATGTTCACAATCAACACACTTTTCCTGATTGTCGTGATGCTGTGATGGAATATACGCAAGGTGTTCTCTTAGGTGGGCCATAATTGCATCCCAGACTGTAAAGAGATGCAGCTCTTCGGTTACTAATTATGTGTATGCCCACTTTTAAGTGCTTTCCTTAACAAGGATGAATTTTAAAACATGCACAAATATTTAGCGAAAATAACTTGATCCCTCTCTAAGTAGTATTTATTGTTATCATGATCATAAAGATACCAAGCCGTGAGCATATCACTTCAACATCGCTTCATTAGCAACTTGTCCAAGAATAATTAGAGCAATCACCAGTATGTTCTGTGGGAGCTGTGAGTCCTTGTTAAAATTTTGACCCAAAATCCCTAAGTAAGAGGAAGGCATGGGTAAATCCTCTGCCTGTGAATTAGCTCCTCTTTCTAAATTGCTTCTGCCAGAAATAGCTTATGCTAGGATTAATAGAAGTAGAACCATGGAAGTACAGGGCTGGGGTAGTCCTCTGGAAAACTGAGAGTCCATTTCTCTGCCCTCACATAAAATAGAGTGTATCTGGATAATCCTTGACAGACGTTTGTCTAAGATTTAATTTATTAACAATCTTCACTCTTAAAATACAATTTAAAAAAAACCACCTCTCCCAAATAATATTTTCCTGTGGTTACCAATATGTGACATTTGAAAATAAACTTTGTAATATTTCTGTCTCCCTTTGTATAAATTGAACTAGTTACTTCTTGTCCTAAGCTCAGCAGACATATGGAACAGCTAAGCACCATTCCCTTTAGAATTCTTGCAATATTTAAGGGGTTGCAACTGGAGCCCCCTAAACATTTTTGTTTGGGTTTTTTTTCCCCCTAAGTCAAATAAACCTAGTTATTTTGGTCTCTCATCACAGTTCAAAACCTGGATATTGTACTTTAGCAGTAGCAAAAACTTCAAACTAGTAGAGATAGTAGTACTGCATTTAAATTTAGTGTTCCTGTATTTGTATCTTAGACTGAACTTGCCTCCCCTGCAGTGGTATCACATTACTGACTCGTTTTCACTTGTGAGCTGCTGTAATCCCAGATCATTTCAGCCATACCTCTAGTTATCCAGTTATTCCCATTTTGTATTTGGGCACTTGGTTTCTTCTTTAAGTATTACCTTTTGTACTAATTTTAATTAAAAACTGAAAAGTGAAAACAATCTCAGTTTGTGAAGTTAATTTTGAATAGTTGCCTATATGCTTGGTTTGTTTCTCCAAATTTTGGAGTATGCTTTAGAATATTTCAGGAAAAAAAGTTTGATTACATCAGATACTTTATTTATTAAGGAAGGGGAAGGGTATTACCATCTAAGACTTTTGTGTGCTAATAATCATTTTAATGTAGGACAGTATTCCAGTGATATTAATTCAAATAGGAATTAATATATAATCTGATACTAAAGTATAAAAGCGTAGTAACTGAATGTAATTTTTTTCATAGTATTTCTGTTTGTGCAATAGGATGAAGTCTGTTTTAAGAAATATTTTATCCTTATGCCATGGCTTTTCTTTTTAATTCACAAAATGGTATACTAAAGTAATTTCTGTGTATTGGGTTCTTACCATGATAACACGCATCAAACTAACTTTGTGCCATCTGCTTGTGGTTCTTAGACCACCTTTGATGGAAGTGCCACAGCTGAAGTGCTGACCTACGTGTTAGTAAAAAAAAAAAAAAACACAACCTTACTAAAATTTCATATAAACATCACTACTTTTCATACTGCATCCTTTTTTAAACAGAAAATGAAATAAGCAACTTAATACAAATAACCTTATACATATGTAAGTGTCAGCAGAACGTGGTTGACACACCACTGAAAACAAGTCAGTTCACTGACAAACTGATCTTGAATCCTTCATCATCATAATGATGTGGGTGAGGGAGTGTTGGGCTCTAAATTCATTCTGCTGATTAACAAAGAATATATTGAGGCTGGAGCCTGCAGCACTTAAATACCCCTTAAGATACAAAAGAGACTTTATCCTCCCTAGACCAACTGCTTGCGTGTTCTGGCTGAGTGCAAGTAATGCAGCAGTCCGAGCTACAGTATTCTCATCTCAGCAAAAGCTAGCAATGAGAGATAAAATTGTCAGAGCAGTTATCTTCCCAACATCTCATTTATCATAGTAGTGTAAACAAGTAATTTCTCATAGGTAAGTGTTTTATGAAATATTTCCAGTATCTGACCCCATTAGAACTCACTTGTAATTTTTTGTCATTCATGATATAAGACTATCCTTAGCTCTTGTAAATGCTTTTGTATTCTACTTGCTATCAGATACTCATATCATAGATAATCTAATACACTGTAATATTTAAATATTTCATTTTAAATATGCTTCATGCTTTCTGCTATTTCCCTCCATTACATTTCTCTTTTTTCTTCTATTATTTAGCCAGTACTGCATTTCTGTATGATTAAAAAGAGTGTAGGTACAACAGAAAGAGGTGATTATATTTTCCAAGGAAATATATTCTACTACATCCTACCATCCCCTTCAGTATACCTTTTAATTGTTTCATGTGTGTTGTTACCTTATTTCTAAGCATAAATGACAGAATTATTCATCACTTGATTTTTATATGTGCTTTAAAAATAAATGCAATCCAGGCGTGAAGTTGGTATGGTTTTTTCCTAAGCAACACATGCTTATCAGAACACTCCATTTTCCTTTGAATTTGTGCAGAGGCAACCGCTTCTCTTATGCCTCCCATTAAAACAGGCTCTTGCCTGTCAATGGATGGGCGCCGACATGAGAACGAGGAGAGCTGGCATGATGGCTGCAGGGAGTGTTACTGTCACAATGGACGGGAAATGTGTGCCTTGATCACCTGCCCCGTTCCTAACTGTGGCAACCCCACCATACATCCAGGGCAGTGTTGCCCATCATGTCCAGGTAACATGCTTTCTTCTATATGCTTTGTGATCGGGTTTCATGTCACATGTGTTCTGTTTCCTAATACATGAAAATAATCTCATGCATCATTCAGTAATAGGTATGTATGAAGGTTTCTATGCCCAAATATAACATGATGAGGGGCTTTCATTAAGACCTCAGATGTGAAAAGTAGGAACTTAAATATTGAAAGCATATGCATGTTTTGGGTCCTAATATGTTAATTTTTGACACACTGAAATCTTTAAACTAGAAAAAGTTTCTGGCCTATAGTAGCTATAATAGCAAATTTATACTCATGTACATTTTTGTTACCTCTAACAGAAAATATTGTAATAAGCCATTACATTTTCTCTTTTAATTTGAAGTGGAGTTTTATTAAAATTCATCCCCTGCTCTGTGTTTCACAACCCCTCAAAGGAATACACGTTTAAACAGATGTCTTATGTAATTGAACATTATGATTCTGTGTTCTGAGGGAAGGCTCCTGCGCCACCAGCAGTAGAAGATTATTTTAATGCTTTAAGTGGGGAGGCCAAGTACAATTAATGTTGCATTCCAATACAATTTTAATAATAAGTGTTAATATGAAAAAAATCTATGAAAGATGTTAGAGTGTGGGTAGAGTATAAGATTAATGCCCTCTGTCTTCAGAATGATTCCTACAATATTTTATGTGCTAAATAGATTAATTTGTAATACAGTGATGCTGTCTGTGACTTTATTAGAAGTCACATGACAAGTAGGAACAACGAGGCTCATGATACTACTACGAATAGCAAAACGGTAAGACAGCACTGGCAGGATATAAGCAATTACAAACCGTTTCAAATTCTTTGTAAAGAACAGGAAATCCTAGGGGCAAAATAAGCAACCAGATCCTCTTCTGAAAGTGACAGAGAAGAGTGTATCCTCCCTCGGACCTCAGATAACAAATCTCTAGATTACTTAGACAAATGGTGATCTCCAATCCAGTTCACACCTTGTCGTAACTGGAAAAACATAGTGCTCAAAAAGATGAGGGACTCCAAAAGGTCTGTCTGCCTTTCAGCCTTTCTCAGTCTGCGCTCCTCCCCTCAGTGTTGAGACTGGGCCCTGTGGTTCCTGTGGTTCCATGGCCAGCCGTGGTGTTGCTTTTGGCACTGGCTTTCATGGAGCCAGAGCTATTTTCAATACTAAGTAATTTAGCGGTGGTTACTGAGGCCGAGCTCAGTGCTTAGCGTCTTAGTAATGACAACCATTAATGAAATTTTTAGCTGAGGTGGAAATACTAAGGAGGATACTCCCACCAGTTATGCACACTAGGGGAACCATCCTTTGCTCGCTTCCTTCTCTTCCATTATCAAGCATATGGCTAGTCTGACAGGGAATTTAGAAATCATATGATTTTTAAAGGGAACCTTAGTGTTTTATCAGCTTGGAGCACATTTTTTTGCCACAGCAGTATGCAGTGTTGGTCCATATGCATCCTATCAGGTACTGTCATTCTTTCCTCCAGCTCCCCATGCACGCACACATCCACAGTCTGTCTTAAATAGTACAGTTCTCTCCCCTATGAAACCTCAGTGTGGAAAAAAAAAAAATTAAGACAACAACAACAAAAAAGATTCAGTTGTGAATATTGCTCCAGGAGGAGCAGCCAAACAGCAAATAATAAATACAGAATATCGTATTCCTAAAGTCATGTCACTGGACAGGAATGTTATTTTCCACTCGCGCTAGCTGGAATTCAGGGCTGCACAGAACTGTTGGAGTACCTGCAGTAGTCACTCACCTTTTCACAATGATCTGTGTATTATTGTATTATAAGAACCACCCACTGTAGGAGAAGGTCAGGTTCGAGACCATCTAAGGAACCAGCAGATGCACAGGTCCATGGGACCCGATGAGACCGATCAA